GACCCGGTCGCGCGGCAGCGACAAGGCAGGCTAGCGAGGGGCGCTCTAGGTGGGAGAGAAACGGTCGATGGTCCGGCCGTCGGGTCCGGCGGCCAGGTGAGCGCCCTGGCTCAGCACCTCGGCGGCTTTGTCGGGGCTGAGGCCCAGCTCCGCGGTGAACTTGGCCAGCGGGTAGAGGCTCTCGAGCGCCACCTTGGGGTCGTGCAGGAAGTGCGTGGTCTGCGCCAGCAGCTCAGCCGCAGCCGCCTTGTCCTCCTGCTTCAGGCTCAGCTGTTCAGCCGTGAGGCGGGCTACAGCAAAGACGCCCTCGGGGAAGTCGAGCTTGCCCTTGCAATCCGGGCCGGGGACGCCGGGTAGCCCTCCTAGGCCTGCCAGCGCCCCGGCTGCGCCCGCCGCGCCACCGACGGCGTGCATCTTCATGTGGCTGATGAGGTTGCGTTGCTGTGCGAACTTGCCGCCGCACACCTGACACTCGTAGGGCTTCTCCCCAGAGTGGATGCGCATGTGCTCCGTGAGGCGGTACTGGCGCGTGAAGCGCATGCCGCACGCGTCGCACGCGAAGGGCTTGAGGCCCAGGTGGCTGCGCATGTGGCGCGTCATTGTCCCACGCTGCGTGAACTTCTTCCCGCAGATGGTGCATGGATAGGGCCGGGTTAGCCAGTGCGTCTTCTCGTGCTGCCGCAGGGTGGCCGGGTCCTTGTAGCTCTTGTCGCACGATGCGCAGCGGTAGGGCCTCAGCAGCTCTCCCAGGCCACCAGGAGCCCCAGCGACTTTGTCCCCACCACCGCCAAAAGGGGGCCCTAGGCCAGGGCCACCGGCAGCCACTTCAGCCACCTCAGCCCTGCCATACAGCGCTTCCTCCTCCTCCACATGAGCCTCCACGTGCGCATTCAGCTGCTCCGAGCTGGGGAAGCCCTTGCCGCACGGGATGCACACGTACAGGTTGTCACCGAAGCTCTCGGGCTCGCCATATGCCAGGTGTGGGCATGGGTAGCCCTCGAGGTGGCCGCCAGGCGGGCTGGGGTCCTCACTGCTGCCAGTCTCCTCGCTGCTGCTCTTGTAGTCGTCGCCGTCACCGCCCGTGCCCGGCCCGTCCAGGCTGCCCGGATAGCGTGGCGGTGGTGCTAGGCCAAGCGGGGGGCCCCCGGGCGAGGCGGCCCCGTCCCCGCCACGCTCCTCGCAGCGCTCGCCTTGGGAGCCGCGCTCCCGGCCCAGCTCGTCGTAGCTACCCAGACCCGCCTCGTGCTTCATCCAGCGGTAGAGGAGGCTGGACCCGTCGGGGCGGCCGGGGGGCTCGGGTCCCGGGCTGCCAACGCCGCCACGGAATGGGTCCGGAGGCGGTGCGGCCTCCTCAGGCTTCTGGAAGGGCAGCGGAGGCAGCGGCGGCAGGGCGAGTGGCGGCTCCTTGTAGGCGGTGGGGCCGGCGCTGGGAGGGCTGTCTGGGCGCGGGGGCAGCTCGCGCTCACCCAGCGGCCGCTCGGGAGCCACAGAGCCGGGTGGGCTCTTCTTGGACAGGTCCAGGCCACAGAGAGGGGAGCAGCGGCGCTCCGGGGCACAGAGTGCGGCGGCCGGGCCAGGGCCCGAGGCGTACAGCTCCGCGCAGTGCGTGTTGACCGCGGTCTCGGGGCCTGACGGCCGCTCCGCGGCAGGCGGCGGCGGAGGCCCAGCCGGGGAGGAGTAGCAGGCCTGGATAACCGGCGTGGAGGCCCTCAGGCCCCGGCCCGGTCGCCCGTAGGGAGCATAGCCGCCGCCGCCGCCGCCGCCGCCCCGCAGGTGGCAGTACTTGCCGTGGCGCTTGAGGCGCTTCTTGCACAGTGCCACGAGGTCAGGGATCTGCAGGTAGCTGGCGGCGGCCAGCACGGCGCCCAGGCTCGGCTCGGCCCCCGGGGCCACGGCCGCGGCCGCTGCTGCCTCTGCGCCGTCAGTCAGGCGGCCGGTGTAGATAAAGTCCAGCACCAGGCGGAACACGGCCGGGCTCACCATGTCATGGTCCAGGTTGAGCAGGTTGTCATGCACCACCAGGGACTTGAGGTAGGCGCTGCTGGCCGCCAGCACGTTCTTGTGCGCGCGGAAGAGGGCGTTCTGCACTACGATGATCACGTCGCATAAGAAGCCCTTGGTGCGCTGGTTGTTGAGCTGCAGCAGCAGCTGCCTCGAGTGGCCGGGCGCCTCCATCGTGTCCAGCATCGTCTGCCCAGCACACTCTCCTGCGGAGACACACACCCGCCGGGTAAGAGCCGTGCAGCGGCCTGGCCGCCTGTACCCAGCCCTGCGCTTCTCCCCTCCACTTCCCCTTCCCCTCAGCTGAGCAGGGGCATGGAGCACTGCGGCCTGGGCACTGGCTGAGGATCGGCAGCCTCCGAGAGTGGGCGCCTAGGCCGACCGGCCCGAACCTGAAGAAGGAGCAGGAGGAGAGCGGCCGCCGTTGGAGAGGAGGCCAGGCTGGCCTGAGCTCCTAGGCCCCGTCGCCCACTGGGCACGCGGGCTGGGTGCTGGGGGCTTCCGAGGAGTAAACTGTTCAGGCGAAGTGACCCTTTCAGAGACAGTTACCCGATTTAAGTAAAATGTCCGCTTCAGGAAAAGTCATTCAGGGCGGAGAAGTTTGCTCAAGTAGGGAGTAAGGGAGCCGAGTAAGAAGTGCCTCCCGCCTCGGGAGAAGTTGCCCCAGCTGGGGGAAGTGATACGGAGGAGGGGAACCTGGTGCCCGCCGTGGCACCTCCCTGGCCCGGGGCTGTCAAGCCCTCGTTGGGGCCGGGGCGGCCGCCGCCGCGCGGGGAGTGGAGGCAGCGGCTGCCGTGGCGGGCAGAGCGCAAAGGCCGGGCCCCCGGCGCGGGGAGGGCGTTATATCGGGGCAGGAGGCTGAGGCAGGAAGCAGGTGGGGGGGAGGGGGGAGCCACGCAGCTCCCAGGGGAGGGAGGGGGCAGCGCCCCGGGCGGGCACAGCGCGCTGCCGGCTGCGGCCCTGACCAGGGCCTGCGCCCCACCCGAGTCCCGGCCCGGCCAGGGCCTCGGCCTCGGCTCTACATCCGCGGACCCGGCGCCTCCCTCCCCTGCTCCCCTCGGCCCCTTCTCCCCTGGAACTAAGCCGCCCCAAACTTGGGGAAAAGTTTTCCAACTTCAGACAGGGCGGGAGGAGCGCGCCAGCCCCGGTCCCTCGGCTCCCAGCGTTTCCTCACAGCCCCCAATTCCGGCGGCCCGGCCCAGCCCTGGGCTCCCCTGCCCGCCTGCTCGCCCGCCCGACCCCGTTCCCCGCCTGGCCCGCAGGGCCTCGCGGCCCGTTACCTGAGGCCAAAGCCGGGCCGGGCTTCCCTCCCCGCGGCGGTGGCAGCTCCTAGCCGGCTCCCCACCCGCCCCGCTGCCAGGCTCCTAGCTGTGCCAGGGCAGCGCCCCTGCCAGCCCCGCCCGCCAGCTCCCCTTCCTTTCCCCTTGCCTCTCCAGCCCATGTGCGGGCAGAGCCGCCCCGGGCCGCTGACCCCGCTGTGAACCCGGCGCCGAGCAGCGGCCCGGAGGTCCCGAGTCCAATAGGGACGACATCGGGAGCCCTGGACGCCAGCCGCCAGCCGCGATGGGGCGCCCGTGCCAGAAGATGCGCCCGCGGCAGCAACGCACGAGGACCGGGCTGTCCTGGGTCCCCTGTCCCTCCCGGTCCCCAGCTCGAGGACCCACCTGGGGGGCATGTCGGAAGCCCCGGGCCCGGCCGCCAGCGGATCCAGGGGGGACGTGGCTGCGCTGCGCTGCCCTCCGCCCGCCGGGCCCCCGGTCGGTCTGTCCTGCTGGTCCGTCCTCCCCGCGTCCTGGTCGCGTCTCAGCCCCGCCGCGCTTTCCGCACACTCTTATCTGGAGCGGCCCGGGCCATCCGCGCTGCTGCGACTATGGCGCCACCTCTCGGGCACGCGGGGCTCTGCGCGGCACCGCGGCGACTTTTCCTCCTGCGCACCTGGGCTGGATGGAGGCTCGCAGATGCTGAGCTGGGGAGGGGGACCCATACGCAGGTTCACCCTCCCAGATGTGCCCGCTTGGGGACCCAGGCCCTGGACCTGCAAGCCCCATAAACACTGGGGTTTTGAGCCGAGCGCTCTATGTACACATTTCTATGTACGTAGTCCCAATTCGGACAAGTCCTGACCGCAAGGAGGGGATTCTAGTAACAGCAGGTGGTGGGAGGGAGGTTACCAAAATCCTGAGACGACGATAGACAAGATCTCGAGGGGCTCTTCATAGACATTCTTGTAAGAGGACTGTCCACTTGGACGCCCCCCAACACACCCACCGTCACTCTGGCGCATGGATTAGGTATGCACAGCATAAACTCGTTTGTACCCAGACCCTCTCCAAGCACTGACACTCGCAGGCGCGCATGTTTACACAGACACACACCCGCCCCCTCCCAGGGCCCTCCGTGAACCTGGGCAGAGCTGTCACTCAAACAGCCCACCCTGAACTTGCGAGTCTCTGGAGGGAACGCAGGAAAAGTCATGCAGGGCGATTGGAAATGGCTGGACAGCGCCTCTTGGGGGTCCACAGAAGTAACCTCAGGCCCCAGATTCCCGTGTAAGCCGTTATGAACGACTCCTAGTGAATGACTTTTTCTCCAACCCACCCACCCAAAAGAAACATGACAGTTACAGTAGGGCTGGCGGCTCAAGACCCCCCACAAGGTCCTGCACTCCACATGAAGGCCAGGTTTGTGCGGGTGACGCGTCTTCTGGGAGGAAGGGGACCCTGCGCTGGCGCGCTGGTGCTCGCACAACTACTCCGGAAGTGGCCTCGTGCGGCCCCGCCACGGCACCAGGCCTGTTGCGAGCGCCGCGTCTCCACGGCCCACGCTCCGCCTCCTCCCCGCACCGCCTGACCCCCGCCCACACGCGGTGGCGGTGCGGGGGGGGGGCTCCCTAAGAACGCCCGCAGCTTCTGATTGGCTGCGCCTCCCTCAGTGGTGGAGCGCAAGGGGCTGGGGCGCAGCGTTACCATGGTAACCGATGAGATTCGCCCAGATCACGTCTCTCCGAGGCCTTGGAAAGCTTAGCAACAGCTCGGGGCCTCGGGGCGGGCGGGGGCCGCGCTCGCCGCCCCCCGCAATGTCCTCCGGCCTCCACGCCCCCGCCAGAGGTAGTGGCTGAGTCACTCCGCGAGGGGCAGCGGGCGCGGCCACGGGAGGTCCCCGACAGACACCAAGGTCTCGGGCGCCCCCCAGAGGCTCCCTTTCCTCCGCAGGCTGCTTCAAGGCTCCGGTGCCTTCCTTGGCGAGGCTCCTGGTCCGAACCGGTCCTTCTGACTCCGGCCGCTTCCTGAGTCCACCCCTCTCCCTGTTTCCCACCTGTGTTCTGGATCCATCTTCTTCACGTCTTCCCCTCCGCCTCCCCACGGCGTCCTCACTAGAAAAGTAGTGAGGTTCCCAAAGGTAAAAACAATGGGCTCCGGAACTGCTGGCCTCTAGGGCAGGTGGACCCTGAGATCTCTGCCAAGAGACGTTCTGTGGGCTGACGTGGAAGAGTTATGGAGTGTTGGGGGCAGGTGGAAAGGCCCCTCCCTCAGAAGAGATGCTCGGCAGGGCTTCGACGAATGAATAGGAGTTCTCCCACAGGGCAGGAATGTATACCTGGAGAAACTCGGACAAAGGCTATTGTTAAGAAAAGAGGAATTCTAGGAGGCCAAATTCCAAAGGGCAGGGCCTCTCTGACCCCATCCCTGCTTTAGTCTTTTCTCCTTTTGATAAGGCCAGATCGCAGCCTCACAAGGAGCCCCTCAGCCCATGTGTCTTTGGTGCAACGGAGTCTGGTGGTACACTGCTGACCCACCCCACGGTCTGCCGTGCCCACGTCTGTCTTTGTGTTTATTCTTCAGCACTTCTTCCCAGTTCACTCTTCCCAAGTTAACTCACTTCCCCCAATCCCTGCCTTCAAACCGTCATTGCATCTGTATGGCGAGGGTCTCACAGATCTGCCACCAGCCCAGCGTCAACTTCAGGGCCTCCATGCCCTCCTGTGGACATCACCCTTCGACCTTTCCTTCCTTCCCCAGCACCACCAGCCATGCCTCGGGCTGTCTCTCCCCACCCTGGGCCAGCTCCTGTCTCTGACCACACTCCTTCTCCTCCATTTAATGCCTTTCTCCAATGGATGGAGGTAGGCTGGGCCAGGACCATTCATTTCCGTGTGTCCTCCGGGAGAGCTCTGTCCCATAGGCTTCATGGGCTCTTCCTGCCAATTCTGACCTCCAGGAAATAGTCCCCATCACCCCCTGGAGGCCCCTCTCCAAACTACTAGACCCTTGGACTCCACTCTTTGTCACCCTCATATGAGCTCTGCCAACATCCACCATGCCACAGATGGCTTCCAAGGCGGCCCCTGGAGCTAGGCACTGCTAACCTATCTTCCCCTCCACTTGCTGAGGCTGCGCTTCCTCTAACCCCCTACTCCTGGCACCTTACCCTCAACTCCCTCATAGAGGACCCCATTGCTCATTTCTGAGGAGCCCAGGCCAGGCTCCTGAACTTCTCCGCCTTCCCTCCAGTCTCCAGCTCCTGACTGGCACTGATCGCTGCTGGGCCTTCCCTCCCCGGCTCAGTCTCCTCCACTAAAACCTCCCAACACTCTTGGGCTATCCTACTCCTTTCCTCTCCCTCGACGCCACAGCCCTAGTAGCGCCCTAGGCCCCTCAGCAGGTCCAGCTTCCTCTCCTGCCCCCCCAGGACGGGAAGGTGACAACGCCACAGGGGCCATAGGGGGTGTGACGCCGCCGAGGGGCATCCTATGACGTCACGGAACCGTTCGGTCCAGGAACCAGGAGTGGGCGTGGGGGCTACCAGGTGAGGACCCCCAGGAGTCCCAGAGCTCCGGAAGGGGAGAGTGAATAAACAGGTAAGGGACTCGCCGCACCCTCCCTCCCTGCACTGTCTTCCCCCAGTCCCCAGCCCGCAGTTCCGGAAAGTTAACCCCTTGTGGCCCCGACAGGGAGCTCGGGTTCCCCCCCCCTTCCTGCTTCCGCGCACCCTCTTCCCCCTCCCAGCTCCCGGTAGCCTTGGTCTCCACCCCACCCCCCTGGCCTCGCCACTATAAATAGCCCCTTTTCCCATTTCCTAAATTCCCTGCTGACGTCGGCAGCGCGTCAGTGTGTAGGAGCCGCGGCCGCATGAATGAGCCGCCGCACGAGTACTACGCGCGCCTATAAAAGCCGCCGCGCCGGCGAGGCTGCAGGAGGCGACCGGGCGCTGGCGCAACGCAGCCCGCCAGGTAAGCGGGACTGACCGACCGACGGGCCACAGAGGGACAGATGCGCGGACACGGACGGGAGGGCAAGGAAGAGACAGGCCGGGCGGCGGGTTGGAGGGCCCCTCCAGAGTGGGGATAGGGACAGGGTGGGGGGACAAGGGTCCCCTCGCAGCTGGTGGAGCCGGGCTGGAGGTGGACACAGAACCCCGCGCAGCACCTGTCCGCGCCTGGATGGAGACGCAGCCACTTCGGAGGAGCATCGAGTAGAGGACAGACCCCAGCGTCCCCACGCCTTTCCCTTGGGCTCCTGCGCCATCCTTCCAAGAAAGTGGGGTGAAGGTGCTGGCGCCCCAGGAGATGCACCCCCTACTCCCCGTCCCGGCAGTGCGGTGACTCAGCCTCACTGCCCCGAGCCGGCTGAGCGGGGGCGTGAGGAAGAGACAGACGCCCACCTGCCCGTCGCCCCGACCGCAGCTCTCTCGGGACCCCCGCCCCGCATTCTGCTGGGGCGCCCCCTCCCGGGCCAGTCCCGTCGGGCCGGGCCGGCTGCGCCCACGACTTCCCGCCTCTGCTATCGGAGCTGTCCTCTCAGGACCAGAGGGGGCGGGGCCTCGGCCCGACCGCCCCGCCCCACCCCCACTGCCCCCCCCGCCGCCGGAAGTGCCTCCCTCTGGGACATCTTTGACGTCACACGACTCTGACGTCAGGGCCCGCGTGCCTGTCCGCGAGCGCTGGGGCGGAGAAGGGCGGGAGACGCGGGGGAGGAGGAGCAGCAGCGCCCCCAGCCGCGGGCGACGGGGGCACCCCGCCCGGACAGCGCGCCGGCACCTTGGCTGTAGACTGCTTACTGCCTGGGCCGCCCTCAGTAACAGTCTCCAGTCACGGCCACCGACGCCTGGCCCCGCGCCAGGACCGCGGACCGGCCGCCCGCCGCGCCCCGGGACCCTTCTGTCCCCCGGAGTCCCGCGGCCCCGCGCTCATGGCCAGCGCCGACGCTGTCCGCGGTGCTGATCCACCGCAGACGCGGCCACCGGGCCGTCGGGTCCCCAGTCCCCAGGGGCTGCGAGGGGGGCCGGCCCTCACGCACACTCGCCCAGCCCACGCGTCGCCCGGCGCCGGGCCCCGGGGCGCAGCCCCCTCCCGGCCCCCCGCCTGGCGGTCCTGACGTCAGCCTGCTCCGAGCTGCCGGTGCTGTCAGCGGCGCGTCCCCGCCCCCGCGTCTCCAGGGCAACCGTGGCTTTCGATTGTTACTGTGGGAACCGGAGGTAACAGTCTACAGCCATGGTCGCCCCGCAGCACGCCCACGCGCCGCGCCACGCCGCGCCCTGCCAGCCGCGGGTGGGGGAGAAGCAGAGCGGGAGGAGGCGGGGGCGGCGAGGCAGGCTCGGATGCGTCCTCGGGGCGCGGAGGGGGGAGAAAGACGTGCTGCGCCCGCCAGGAGGCGGCACTCCCTGGCCTGACTGCTGCGTGCCCACCGAGGCAGAGCAGGAAGCACGGTCTGCGGAGTGTGTGTGACCGTCAGCCTCAGTGACTGTCCTGTCCTCCCAGCCGGGCTATTGCAGCCAGGTGACGAGAAGCAGTAGTTCTGGGATTTTGTGTTCTTTCTCTCTCCTCGGTGGGAGGGACACGGAGGCATGGAAGAATGTTGTCTGCCTCCTGGGGACTGAAGCGGGTAGATAGAGGAAAGTTTCCCTAAATACCCCACAACCTCCTTCTTCCGGGAACCCCTAGCTGAGCAGGCAGAGAGCAAGGGGTAAACCCTCCAATCTGTTTCCTGACAAAGTCTCAGCCTCCCCTTACTCTCCCCTCCCCCACTTTCTCCCTCTGAGCCAGGAGGATAATAAGGTCCCCAACTCTCAGGAAGCCAGTGGGGTTGTAAATTAATGTGGTCCCTAAAGCGTTGTCTGACTTTATCAGCATTCTCACTTCAGTCTATCTCCAGGTGCTGGATTCCAATTTGAGACTGTTTCTCAAATTAGTCCTAAAGAGGAGTGGGGCCGAAGGGGCCGAAGTCGGGTTGTGCCAGTTAAGAAGTGTGAGCAGTGATCTCTTCAAAAACATTTTATAGTGTGTGTCTCCTGCCATTGTCAGCATTGCCCACTGTAGGCGCTGGCTGTTGGATAGCAGGTGCGGACTTCCCCAGGGATAGTGTTAGGGATGATCAATGCGACCCAGCCCCATCAGCCATTAATCCAATTTTTCTTTACCTCTCCACACTCCCTCCTTTTCTAAAGTACTTCTAAGAAACTGGTTGCTGGGTTGGCCACGGTGGCTCATGCCACCTAGCACTCTAGCACTCTGGGAAGCTGAGGAGGAGGATCACTTGAGGCCAGGAGTTCAAGACCAGCCTGTGAAAGAGTGAGACCCCATCTCTACTAAAAGTAGTAAAAAATTAGCCCGTTGTAGTGGTGCACGCCTGTAGTCCCAGCTATTTGAGAGGCTGAGGCAGGAGGATTGCTTGAGCCCAGAAGTTTGAGGTTGCTGTGAACTAGGCTGATGCCACGGCACTCTAGCCTGGGCAACAGAGCAAGACCTTGTCTCAAAAAAAAACAAAAACAAAAAGAACAAAGAAGAAAAGAAACTGGGTGTTGGTTTTCCTGCTAATCAACATCCACTTGCTGCCCTATCACACCTCTCCCAGGATCCTGAGGTCTTAGATTAAAATGCATTTGATTCCAGATTCCAGTGAACATCTGTGGGCAGACTGAAGTGTGTGCAGGTGGGAATACCACACCAGGAATCAGGAGGTCCAACCTGGCTTCATCATCAACTGCTTATTTAAGGGGCCATGTTCTGTTTCTGAGCCTCCTGTAAAAACGGGATAATAATCACTTCTTCTTGGTAGATGTATTGTGAGAATCGAATAGGATCATGTAAGTAAAAATCTTTAAAACAGCAGAATGCTATTTCGATCATAAGTATTCTATTAGGCTACTACATGTCTGTGAAGAGGAGGTAATGTTGGGAAGAAACGCCAACTCTGGGCACTTAGAATGAACAGAGGAGTGGGGTACACCTCCCTGAGCAGATGCTCTGGGCCGGGGGCTGACAGGTTCTTTGCTAAGAGTCACTCTCTTAAGAGCTTGAGGAATCCAAGGTGGAGTCAGAGGTAGAAAAGAAAAATGGTAGGGATCTTCTGAAAAGAGGCCAAGTTTTTTGCAGTTTGACCCCAGCTGGAGAATGGGGTCAGAGGGAAAAGATCCAGAGGACTGTACCATGAGAGCATTGTTCAGTATTGCATATATTAGGAAGTATATTTGGAAGGTGAAGGCCAGGCAGGACATATAGCCCAACAAGTAGTGAGTGGTGGGTGTCTCTGTTCCTCTTCTGCAGTGCAGCAGAGAAAACAATAACTAGTAAAGGTCAAGAATGTGAGTTCTCAGATCTGAATCTAACCTTGGGTAAGTTATTATACTTAGTCTGTGCTTGTTTCCTCAGTTATAAAATTGGGTTAACAATAGTACTTACCTCTTGATGTTGTGAGATTAGGCAACATTAAAGCTTTTGCTTATCACAGTATCTGGCATACAGCTAGTACTCAATAAATGTTACTACTATTTCTACCCTCTGAACCTCATTTTCCTTAGCTATAAATTGAAAATGCTACATCAATGATTCTTTTGGGAGGCTTGCTCTCCCTTCCTGATAGGTCACATGAGGATCACTGGGGGCTTTTTTTCAAATAACATACACTTACCAGAGACTTTTATTCTACCCTCTAAGGCAGTGGTTTTCAACTAATACTTGCTTGGTAATGACCAGGGGCAGTTTGTCAAAATGCAGATTGCTGAGTCCCAGTGATTCTGACTCAGTACATCGGGAACTGGCCCGAGGAATTCAAACTTTAACAGATGATCCTGATGTAAGTGGGCCCATAGAATCTGTGCATGGGGAAGAGGGCACAACCCCCTAAATCCTCTCTTGTTCCTAGTGAGCATGGTGGGAGACATCAATATATCCCACTTGTTGGGAACCAGTGGACCATATGTTTTCTCCCAGCTTGGACATTCTATGATTTTCAGAAGGAATTCTCATCCCAAACATGCTCACCTAATACTGCTCTGATCTACCCACCCCCACCCACCCCCTTCTAATTTTAAGCCCTGGCTTAAAATTCATTCCCCAATATCTTTCTCTCTCCTTTAATCCTCACAATAATCCCAAGTAGCACCAGCTGGGGTATGCAAGTCATCATTTTCACATCTTGGGAGTTTCCTCCTTTTGCCAAGGGGAAGACCCCTTAAAACACCAAGAACAAGGCAGAGGCCAACAGTAGCAAGGGAGAACCATCCCCACCCCTCCCAACAAACACACTGTTGTAAAGATTCTAAACTCTGTAAACTAGGCTTCTGTCTGGGTAGGTAATTTCAGTTTTTTTAAATCTTATACAGCTTGTCTCTGTAGCAAGGAACCTAGAACTTTGAGAAATAAATATTTAAGAGTTATACACAGGCTTATGTCTGGAAAAAGGAAAAAAAAGTAAATATAAAAAATGAAAAAAAAATTTTTTAAAAATTTAATATTCTGGTTATCAGAAGGATGGGCTGGAGCATTTGTTTTGCATCCCCTAACTCTAGTTCCTTTTCAGTTAGTTAGCTCCCTGATAATCGTGGGTGAGGGCTAGACAGGACTTGTGACCATTCATTAAAGGAACAGGCTTCTTGTGGAGTCAGGAAAGAAGTCAGAAAGCAGGGGTGGGGTGGTGCTGGAAGTAGGAGGAAAATGACAAGAGTGGGCAATCCTAAAAGTGTCTAGGAACAACTAGTTGCACTTCCCAAGGGCAAACCAGCTGGGCTCCTTAGGCTTTGGCTGTAGTTACTGCAGAGTACCGTCAATCTCAGACACCCTGCAGATGGAGTCAAGTTAAGAGGTACCAAGGCCTCTTTTGCTTCAGTTTGAGACATAAAACTTCGACCAAAAATGTGTGAGTTTATTAAGCCAGTCTGTTGCATAAATAAATTAAAAAAAAAAAATGTGTGAGTGTACATGTACACATATGCATGAGCTTGTCCTGGGCCTCACAACTGGAGACACCTCCCTGCTTGGTGCTGCCCACGAGGCTGTGTGTATCAGGAAAAAGATGCTCAAAATCCAAATCACCACTTTATTGTGTAGCAGTCACAGTGGTGCCAGTCCCTACTTTTCCCATGTAACCTTTCTCTCATCCAGGGCTCTCTAGGCTTTTTCATGTTTCAGTATCAGAAGTCACGGGCAAAGTCCATTAAGGCCTTCTGCTCCCCTTTTCTCAAATACAGGACAGTGCTCAATTTGAGTCCTGAGAATTAATGTTGCCTCTTAGCTGGTTGTGGCAAGGAGCACGAAAAGCAGTAGAGGTCCCAGGAGAAGGCATAGATAACAGAGGCTGCCCCAAGGGGAGATGGACGGGTAGAGACATTTGTTCATCTTTCACTCTGCAAACTGGTCCAAGAACTTGAGGTAGGCCTGGCGCTGGGGTGCAGCCGCTGGAATGAAGTGGCCACCAGAGTGCGTGAGGGTGATGGCTCCAAGGAATCGGCTCGCCAGTTGCATACTCTCCTGAGAAGGGATGACTCGGTCAGTGTCCCCAAAAACATGGAGTGAAGGCAGTGACAAGGGGCCCTGCAGGATGGGTTCTTTGAGGCCAAGGCCCCGAGGGCAGAAACCAGATACCAGGATGATAAATCTCGGCAAGGGGAAGCGGGGATCTCCCGCCTGGCCCAGAGCACACACAAGGGCTGCGAGGGCGGCACCCTGGCTGAAACCAAGGAGCCCGTCAAAAGGCCCCAGCTTGTTCAGTGCCTGTGCCACCGTTCCCAGGGCCTCCTCCAGACCCCTGCACACTGTGGGCTCTTCCAGCGCGGAGAAAACGTCTGCGTCCTGCTCTGAAAACCACCAGCCTCGAGGCTGCTCCTCCGAAGGGCAGGGCCCTACAGCGACACAGGAGAAGAGAACGGGATCAGGGCAAGGGGAACTTCAGAGGGAAAGAAAGGACAAGAGGGAGGGAGGGTTTGGGGATGACAGGGAAAAGAGAGGGAACTCGGGGGAGAAAGGCAGAGGGAAAGGCGGTGGGGAATAAAGGGACCGGCGTGAACTGGAGGCCGCAAGGCGGATGAAGGCGGAAACCTGAGAGGGCAAGGGGCAGTTGAGCGAGGGAGGCGGGGACAGGGGAAGTGAGGGGTGTGGGCTGCGTGGAAGGAATGAGGGGACGGTACAAGGCGGGGGTATGCTGAGGGGTGTTGAGGGAGCGAGGCAGAAGGAGAAGACAGCATATTTCCGGAGCAGGGCTCATCTCACCGGAGTCTGGGCCGGCACCCTCGGGGCCCGCCGCGTGGGGAACGGGGTGCGGGCCACTGAGGCACACGAGCTCGGCGCGGCCCCGCAGCGCCTTTCTCAGCGCCCCAGTCTTCTCGCGGAAGCCCAGCTCGCTCTGCCGAAAGCCCGCCAGGCACAAAACCCGCAGGGGCCGCTTTGCGGCCATAGCGCCGGGCAGCGCGCCTCAGAGACACCGGAAGCGATCTTTCCCCGAGCGGAAGTAGAATTATGTGAGGGGAGGAACCAAGAGCCGGCACCACCCTGAAGGCGGGCCCTGGAGCGGGAGGGCGTCCCCATGACAACGGGAGGGGTGGGGCGCAGCCCGAGCCGGGTGGGTACCTGCAACCCCTGAGCGTCTCAAGGAGCGAGCGGCGCCAGCTTCTCGTCTCTGCAGCTGCAGTCCTCGCTAGCCACGGCTGGAGAGGGGCGCGCGCACCCCTCCTGCACCTGAGGTCGCAGACTTTGGTCAGGGTCTCGCTTCTGCAACGTCCTCCCATCCGCTCCCGTGCATTTCCCGTCGCAGTCGCAGGGCGGCGGCCTCGGCTCACGTCGCCAGGGAGGCCCGTGCCAAGGCGGCGCCCAGGGCTGTCCCTCCGCCCTCCTGGAAGTCCCCGCCTACCTTCCCCTGCACTAGCCGGCCCCGGGCCTGGGGGGGCCGGTCCCGCCCATGGTTCACAGTCCATGGCCCCAAGGAGCTGCCGGCATAGAAGTCCATCGGGTAGGGCTGCTGCCAGGAAATGTCCCTCAGGGCCACGGCCGCCTCGGGGAGGAAAACAGGACAATAACATTTGCCAACATTTTTCTGCGCCTGGATTATTGAATTCAATAGTCACAATGGCCTAAGAAGAAGATTATTATCCCCATACCACACAAGGAAAATGTGTGGCCCAGAGAGGTTAAGGGACTTGCCCAATGCCACACAGCTAGGAAGTAGCTCAGTTGGGGGATTCAAGACAGTCTGACCAGAACCTGTGAAGATAACTTACATGCTGCCCACCCACCCCCACTCCACTTCAGACGCCTCCGTTGAGAACAAGGTACAAAACACCCACTCTCTCCCGGAGATTTCCAAAATTTGGTGTTACCTCATAAGGTGTCAGCAGTGGTTTGGGGAAGGCTGTGCCCCAGTCAATGGAGAGACGAGGACATGCCACCTGCACCCACCTGGGAAGGAAAGCTAGGTGAGACCCTCGGTCGCCCCCTCTCCTAGAGCATGCTGAAGAACATGACAGTGTCTCCAACATACCCATTAATTAATAGAATGTATTAATCCTAAAGTAAAGACTTTCACCTACTGCTGTATAGAATACTATATTGTTTCTTGTTTTCTCTTGTTCCTTCCACTGACTATAAACTCGCTAGGGCAGCTCATTTGTGATAGTATCCCCAGAACCAAATTTAGTGCCTGGTATAGTGCTGGTGTCAACCACCCCTTGAATTCAATGTCACGCAGAACAACTGTGACATTGCCATTGGCTTTGAGCCCCAAAGCCAGACAAAGCAGGTATGACCCATAGCCAAGGATAACCCCTGCTGAGTAAATGCTCTGTAAACATTAAAATTTCATGACTATGGAAGCTATTCCCATCAACTCCAGCCTTCAGTATGTGTGGGGCAGGACCGAGCTTCTAAGCTGCTTTAGCTGGGTCCAAGCTAGGTAGCTACGGTGGGGAAACTTACACATCCACCTCAGGAAGTAGGCTAAGCTTGCTGGGGAAGATCTCAGAGAGCAGCAGCCTCACAAAGGGAAGTCCCAAGGCTCGGAGTCGAGATTCCAGGTGCTGTTGGGAGAGGAAGGCAGGGCTGGGGTCCCCATGATCAAACTGCCAAAGTTAAATCCCTTGACCCACTGATTTTTCCAGCGGGTTTCCAGTCAGTCCCCTCCTCCAGAGGCCATCCCAAGCCCTCTGACCTCCAGGATCTTGGGACTGCCCTGGCGGCCCAAAGTGCCCAGAATAAGGCCCCAGGATTTAGCCGAGCGGGCAGTGGCTATGGCTTCTTGGCGAGCAGCCTGCATGCGCTGGTGGTCATAGTGCTCTCTGGACAGAACTTTGCTGTATGGGTCGTACCTGGAAAAGAAGCTGCCAGGGTCACTGTGACAGCCACTCTCAGGACTCCTGCTGAATACACAGCTCCTGACTCAGCCCCTTGGGAATCCTGAAACTTCAGGCCCCGAGCAGGTAATTAGGAACAGAGGCAAGAGCAGGCATTGCTATCGGAAAGATAAGTCCCACAGCTGGACCAGACAGGAGTTGGGGAGGGTTTTAGGACCTCAGTGTGAATCCCAAGGGATGGGTGGACAATAGCAGCCCTGGGCCTAATGCCCAGATCCTGGCCCCAAGTGCTTCAGCCCCAAGTGCTTCAGTGCTTTAGCGCTGGGGACTGTTTAGTGCCTGGAGAATGAGGAGGTTTCAGCTGACTGAGGGCCTCAGTGGCAGGCAGTCCCACCCCTTGCCAGCTGGTCAGCCCAGCCTAGTCCATACCGGTAAGCGGGGACATGGGGGTTGGCAATCATGACAGACTCCAGATGGAAGCGGCCATCTCCAAGATACCTGCAGGGCGTGGAAAGGAGGCTGTGAGTGTGGTGTGAAGCACCAGAAGAGGCACCCGCTGGCTTTCGGAAGTCGGGAGGACTGAGTTTTCAGTCCTGACTGTGCTGCTGCGTATAAACTGGGACAACCCATCATTTCACCTCTTGGGGTCTTGGTTTTATCATGGGTAAAATAAAGAATTTGAATTGGATGACTGGAAAGTCCTTCTAGTTATGTAATATAGACTCTAAGAACCACCCCACCCCCACCTTCTGGGGGAAGAGTAAAGGAGCATTCAAGGCCATGGTAAGGCCACCAGGGGCTCCAGAGATCCTAATTTGGAAGCTGGGGAACAGATTGTCCCTTACCAAGCTCAATACAGATGTGGGAAGTAGTGTTCAGGGTGTCATCTATGCTGTAAATGAGGCTGCAGGGTGTATACCAGCTACTCTTTGTACAAACTAGCTCTTGTGTCATTACTGAGTTAAAACAGCAGCTACTGTTCATTGGACGTATGCCTTTTATGTACCAGGCCTGGCCTAAGTATCTGATGTGAATGAGTTCGCTCAGTCATTTCTAATAGTCCTCTAAGATATCTATAGCATCCCCATTTTACAAAAGATACACCTGAGGCTCAGGGATGTTAAGAAACTTGCCCCAGATTATCCAACTATTAAGCAATGTAGCAGAGGCTTAACCACCAGGCTTACCAAGCATGCCCTAGGAGATGCTGTGTATAACAGCACTTTCTCAGGCTGTGGAGACCCCAGAGCACGGAATATAATCTGCCTGCAGAAGCTCCTTTTCTCCCTCTTGGAGACCACATCTCATTTTGATGAATGGCCAACACTCAGGGTATCCCTCGCTCCAACACACACCTTGAAGGCCCCAAGAGTAGGCATCTATGAGCTCAGAGTTATGCAGGCACTGGCACGGGGGCATCCCCCTGGGGGAGCAGGACTGCCTTGTCTGGGCTGGGGAAGGCCCTGACGTGGCCTGTCTAGGGGCAGGGGTGTCCTGTGTGGGTGCGGCAAGGCCTGTGGGACCAGCATCCAAAATCCCAGAGCTAGGATTGAGTCAGGGAGTACCCCTCCCTCCCATTAGCTAGGAGTGGGGCTGCTCCCCTCCCCAGTCCCAGCCGGGGGAGCTGTGGGCTCTGAGGCTGGCTGCATTCACACAACATTAAGCATTTCCATTACCTAAAATAATTAGGCAGCAGGAGACACGCTGCTTCTGCTTGTTAGCTGTCCGGATGCTAAATTAATGGGGCTGCAGCCTGGGCGTGCCCATCCATCTTCTCCAATTATGTTCCCACCATTTCTAGCCCACCCTCACCCCCCCATCAAGCCATCTAATTCCTGCCCCCACCCCGGGCATAGCTTCCTGGAGAGTGGACTGAGCACTGGAGAGAGAGACAGTAAGCCTGAAGTCTAGTCCCTGTTTGGTCCCCACCTTGCAGTATGACCTTGGGCAAACAGGTAGGGAGCATTAGACTCCATTTCTGTCCTGTATGATAAACCTCAGGCTCCCTCCCAGGGTACATTTCCTATGTCTCTACGACTTGGCCCCCACTTTTAACTTACACAACAGCCTCCACCTCTTTGGGCAGCCGGGGGGACGTGCAGCCTAGAATCTCCCCAGGGGACAGGGGCTTGCACTGTGGGACACTCACTTGATACTCAGCTTTCAGCTCCTGGGCAGCTGCCTGTAGGGATAATGAGGGAAGGGAAGCAAGTAGCTGGGGAAGGAGGGACAGGGCCAGAGGAGTGGCCTGGAGCACCTGGCATGAGGACCCAGGGGTGGCCTGGAGAGTGGGTGCTGTCTGCCTCCTGGGCTGCTGAGGACCCTCACTCCACTCACCTGCAAGGTTGACACAAACTGAATGGTGCTGACAAGAGCAAGGACACTGGCTGGGGGAAAGGTGAGGCGGATGGAGTCCAGTAGGTGGGTAGTGTCTATCCGGATGTCCACAAAGACATACAGCACCCGGAAGTCTTGGGCCAAGGTGTCCATGGGAACTGAGAGAAGGGCAAAGTTCAGGAGACTTTGTTTTGGAAGGCCGGAGGAACAGAGGGCCTGACCCAGGCTGAGGTCTCTAAGCAGCCAGGACCAGTGGCTTCAGCCTGAGGGTAGAATGAGGAGGTGTGAAAGGAAGGGGTAACAGGTCCCCTAGAAGCTCCTTCTTGGTCAGCCTTCTCTGTCATTCGGCCGGGGGCCCAGCCTGCTCTACCACCAACAGCCTTTCAAACACCCGCATCTGGGACAGCAGCACAGTTTCCAAGGCAACTGAATCTAAAGGCAAGATCCACCTGCAGAGAAGGAAGGCCAAGGCCATTCCAGAAACCAGGAGGGACCTTGTGCCAGCAAGCAGGACAAGAAGCACTGTGAAGGAGATTAGCGTGCAGCCTGCCTCCTGCTAGCCCGGCCAGGCCCAGGTGTCCTGGCCCACCATACCCAGGCAGCTGTGGCCATAGTGCACCAGGAAGTCAGCTCCGAGGGCCCTTGCAGTAAAGTCATCCACACAGCAAGCCCCGTAGGTCACATCACCCATCACCATCACTTCGGCCTCTGTGAACCTGTGGGGGCAGGGATCAGGGTGGGGAATTATGGGGCAGTGACACAGGGTTGAGGTAGGAGAGAACTAACCCTGTGGAGATGTCTCAGGGCCCAGCTCCTCTCTCCCTATCTCTCTCAATTCCTTGGGTTGGCAGCTGCCACTTCTGCCAACAGAGAGTAGGAGGGGCACAGCTGCTACCTCCCTCAGCACTGGCAGCAGCTCCTGGAACTGCTGCTGCACGAGGACGGTCTCTGTAGCACCCTGATTCCTTTGCGCAGGCTCAGACTGCAAGAGGGACCCCCAAACCCCAGCCTGGCATACATGGGGTCAAACATAGACCCCCCCAGAGCAGTGAGCATGCAAAGGTACCCACTCCCACGTCCCAGCATGGCAGTGTTTGTGGGCATGGATATGTGGATACACACAGCCTCCCCCTCGCCTGGACCCCCACTACCTCCCCACCCATGGGCAGGGCCCCGGGTGCCCAGGATGGGGGACCCATGTACAGCTCCCCCACAGCACATGGCACCACCCACACGCCTCATGCGTCAGGACGAGTGGGCTCTGGCCAGCACACTGCCATGGGATCTGCTGCCAGGCCTGAATCACTAGGGGACGGGGGTAGGTGGGGAAGACCCAGCACCCCTGAACTCGCCACAGGAACAGACCAGGAGGACCAGCTCTTACCTGAAAAAGACCCACGAGGGGGTGTAGTGCCTGGCTCAGTGATTGGGGTCCCCCCATCCTCCCCCTGTGGGTATGGGGGGGCACTGAGCTGCTGCCAGTCAGCCCCCTCCTCCACCCCCTTCCCCAAATCAGGCTGTGCACAGAAGCAGATTATTCAGCTCCTTAGAATGCAGCCCAGGCGTCTGAGTCAGCCAGAGCACTTAATTTTTTATAGATTAAAATGTATGCAAATTGGCCTGAGCCCCAGAAAGCATCCCCAAGGGGCAGAAGGGTGGGAGCAGGGAAGTGAGTCTGTGGCACAGCATGGGGGAGCCGGATGGGGGGAGGGCAGCAGCAGGGAGGTGGGAGGTTCCCAGCACGAGGTGACCTCCCCTTTCTCCTTCCCCTCCTCCCTGTTCCCGTGCTGAGTTCCCGGTTCCAGATGGCTGAGCACTCACCCTCCTCCCAAGGATGTCTCATTGTATTGAAGAAACTTAGAATAAGGAGGGTAGAGGAACTGAATACCTTCTCCTAGGCACCTCTCTCCCCCTGCCAAACCCATCCTGGCCCTACTTCCCTAAATGCACCAGAGAAAAAAGGTGAAGGTGACCCCCAGCCAGACCTCTCGCTGACCACTCAACCCTTTTCAGGGTCAACTCTGAGAATTCTTAGCTTCCTCCCAGGTCCTACCACCTGGTCTGGGCCCAGCTTTGTAGATACAGGGATTACCTTCTTCCTCTCTCCCAAATTTTTTAGGGGAGGGGAGATTTACAGGGACAAGCAGGGATCAGCAAGTAGGGAGTTTTGTTTTGGGTTTTTCCCTTAATGTGTAAATGGTTGTGGGAGGGGAAGGGGAAAGGCAGAGGTCCAGAAAGAAGAAATGATGCCAAGAGGCAGGGCTGGAAATGAGCATGGGAAGAGTCTGGCTCAGCTTCAAGTGCCCCAGGCCTCACCTTTCCAAGATATCCACAATGGTGCAGGCAAAAAGGAGGAGCCCTTCAGGCATTTGCAAGGCCACTGCAAGAAAGAGCAGAGACATGAGAGGTGGAAGACTAGGGAGAAACTGCAGGACACTGCCCACTGTCAGGGTCAAGCAATCTCCCCACCCCCATCCCAGCTCAGTGCTTAGGGGCTCACCCTTCTTGGCCTGGGCTTGCTGGATCCTCCAGATGGTCTTGGGGATCTCAAAGTTGTAGTTGGAAGGCAGGACCTGGATAGCTGCCTGTAGCTGGGGGTTGTTCAGGATCTCAGGGGGAATCTGATTGGCCAAGCGGCCCCTAGGGGGCCGACCTAGGAGGAATACAAGGCCTGAGTCAGTGTCTGGCCTAGACAGCAGCTAGATCCAGCTAAGCTGTTAACTCTACCAAGTTTAAGGATCAGATCCCAGACACCAAGAGGGTTGGCCCAAATTTCTTCCCCACTGAATTCGTCCTGAAGGATGGTACATCCAATTAAGCCAGGAGGAAAACTGCATAATTAAATTTCATGTTGTGAGATTATTGGCAATCAAAGACTTGAGCCCATGGGATATGGCTCACCCCTTGCCTCAGGGGCCACAGGGGACTGAGGAGCAAAGGAGAGTAAGACTGCATCCACACAACTGCTCCTCGATAGAGAATAGTGTTGTGGAAAAATCAAGAGCCTAGCCAGCCCAGCCAGTCTGGAAAATGTCCTCCTTCTCCACCCCTTGAGAACACCTTGAAGTTTTGAGGTTGTAGATAGCAGATCTGTAAGCAAACTGTTATGCATAAGTACTAATTTAAAAGACTGCTCTCTGAGTCGCACTGAGTATGAATTCCTGCACTTTTTTCTCTCCTTATCCTTTTTTTTTTTTCTTTTTAGAGACAGGGTCCTGCTCTACTGCCCAGGCTGGAGTTCAGTGGCACAGCTATAGCTCACTGCAACCACATCCAAGGCTTGGGCTCAGGTGATCCTCCCACTGCCTCCCAAGTAGCTGGGACTACAGGTGCACACCACCACGCTAGGCTAATTTTTCCCTCTCCTTATTTAAAAGGGAAATAAACACCATTCATTTAACAAACTTAAGAGTTCCTTGGTCCCATTGTTTGTCCTTAATCCTACCCCAGGAAAGATGGAAAGGATACACTCTAGTTAGGACTGTGGACATACAGATAGGACAGAAAAATGACCTTGCCCTTTAGGGGCTAGCAGTTTAGTGGAGCAAAAACAGGTATACAAATAATTACAAAACCCCAAAGAAAGGAGAAAACATTGTAGCCCCTTAGCACGGCTGCAGCCCTTACTCTGAACTCATCCTACTGCTCACAATTCAACCTAAGTTAAATCCTCAGTTCTGTCTTTAGGAGCCAGACAGTTTGGGGATGCAAAAAGGCAAGAAATTAATTTATTCAACAAATATTTATTGAGCCTGTATATATGTGCCAGAATTTCTGGAAGGACCCCTCACTATAACAGTAGGGATCCTCCCAGAGCTGAGCCTTCACCCACGGTGTAGGGGTGGGAGTGTAGTGGAGAACGAGCCTGGCAGGCTGGGGCCCTGAGACCAGGTTTGAATGTTACCACTGCTATGGTTTTTGGTCAGCTGTTTCAAAGGCCTTAGGCAACCAGCGCAGCCTCTCTGGGCCCCTCACAGAACCTCCTCTGACAGGGCCAAGTCCCTAGTGGTCGTTGGTGTGGGAGCCAGCTAGCCTTAGCAGCTCAATGTGTCCTTTGGGCCAGCAGGTACCTCCTCCTTTATCACGTGGCTGTGATCTTCTGTTTACATCAGTATTCCCAGGTACACTGAGATCTCTGAGGGCAGAGACTGTATTCTAATCCCTGTACCAAGCGCAGGCCTGGCATTCAGTGGGCACTTAGTTAATGCCTAGTGAATGAAACCATGTGTCTCCTCCTCCCTGAAAGCGTTTCCTGACGGCCCACTTATGAAGTGTGGACCGCAACTGGCTTGGTCTCGCCCGTCCCTCCCGGTGGGGTCTGTCTTATCCGTCAACCTTCACGCGTCTGTCTGCGGGCCAAGGCAGGACGGTAGTTTCTGATTTGAAGATTACATGAGCCTAGGAGGGGCTACTCTCAATCGCGCCCTAAGGCCCAAAAGAAAAGATCGGTCCCCCCCGGGCTCCGGTGACAGCGGCCCAGAGAGAGTAACAGCGCGGACTTCCGGATCTAGCGGAGAAAAGCGCAGCCACCGCTAAAGGGAGCCGGTCTCGTCCCTGACTTGGGGGCCCCACCCCGAGATGTGAGGTCCGGAGGCCGCAGCGCTGCAGCACCCACCTCTGCCAGGGCCGGGTCGGCCGCCCTGCTCCGCTGCCTCGGACACAACCAGCGCCGCCATCGCTCGCCCGCCCACGTGGGACCAAAAAGACAACGCTGGGAGAGCGCGGAGAGCGCAGACATTGCGATCGATCGCCGATCGGTCATCGGGGGGCGGGGATTCTTGCTGGGCAGGGCCGTGGAGGAGGAGATAGGGGCGGGGCTATAATGGGCCCCATCTCCGCCCGGAAGGTCTGGACTCCCTCGGTATTCTAGAGGTTCCCGACTATGACAGCTGCGCTCTACCAGTGACCCCCGTCCCCCACGCCTCTCTCCGGCCTGGCCTGAGCTTGGCACTCTCGGACCAGTGCTCCCCTGTGTGCTGACTGCCTGCACGAGTTGTACAAGCTGAGTCCTGTGATTAGGGACACCCACCAGGCCTTCCTTCACCTCCCTTCCCAGTCACCCTTCGGTAAGCAGGGTTCGGTCAGCCAGCCACACAGTGGGCCGCATTCCCTACTTCAGAGGACCCCACTGCGCGGCAGGACAGAACTGAGGGCCCAATCGCCCAGGTCCAAGTTGAGAGTCTTGGTGCAACTTCCCCCAGCTCCCCAAGTGCCCTTATCACCTTTAGAATTGACCAGGTAGTTCCAGTAAAAGGTGCACATGGGAGAAAACTGCCACTCAGAGGAAGGTGGGAGCTTGAGGTGCTTTCCTGGGAGAGTAGGGGAGCCTGAGGACTCCATTGCCTAAACCCTCTGGATCCTGGCCAGCCTTTGCCTGCCTCTCAGGCCTAGATAGACTTTCTCCTAATTAGTGTCCAGAGCTCCTGGGACCCCGAAGAGAAGGCAAAGCAGCCAGTGAGACAGCCTTGACCTTTGGAAGAACAAAGTATCTGCAGGACTAGCCTCCAGCAAAATCTGCCCCAGGAAGCAATGGTCCCCCAGGGCTTTTTGCCCACCCAGCCCTCAGGCACCATCCTCCTCTCTCTGAGTGGTGCTGTGAGCACAGCTGGCCCTTTAAGGCAGCTCTGTGGCCTCGGGCTCCCCCAGAGGCCCTCCCTGCTTGGAAACCCCTAATTAAGGTGCAGGGAGAAGTGAAAACAAGCAGCCAAGCACAGGCCCTGCCTGGGAGGCTACCCAGGGAGGAGGGATGGCTAAGCAGGCTGGGAGTGAGCAGCTGAGGGGAGGGTCAGAAGGGCCAGTGCTCTGCCCTTCAAGCTGGTGGCATCAGAACAGTTATAGCTTTGGGCAGGAATGGAGCCAACGTGGGTCCCAGGGATACCTCTCTCACCTTGATAAGGGTCCAGCCTGGACTTTTCCATTTCCCCCAGCTTCTCTGGACCCCCTGTGTGTAGGATCTGAATTTAGGGAGCTCAGCCCCTCCCTCTTTGGGACACCAAGGCCACACCTGTGGGAAGCTTTAGCTCTGGCTGCAGCATCGAGTTCCAAGGGGGAAGGATTGGCTCTAACAGAGCTGTGGCTTCTTTCTAGTAGGTGCCACATCCCTTAGAGCTGTTCCCTCATCAGAAATGGGGCCCATTGCTATGGAGAGTGAGTTAAAAAAAAGAAAGAAAGAAATGGGGCCCCTTGATGAAGAAGGTTCTGTACTCTTGTAATGTTGTCCTGTAGCCTCTGTGCCGAATGAGCAGCCAGCCCTGGCCCCCATTAGGAAACCAGATGATGCCTAGGAGAACTGGACATCAAGAACAGACAGGAAAGCCAGGCACAGTGGTACATGCATGTAGTCCCAGCTACTCGGAAGGCTGAGGCAGGAGGATTGCCGGAGCCCAGGACTTCAAGGCTGTAGTACACTGTGATTGTGCCTGTGAATAGCTACTGCACTCCAGCCTGGGCAACATAGTGAGACCCTATCTCTTAAAAAACAAACAAACAGATGTGGGAATGTTCCCTAAGACCTTGCAGTGCAGGACATTGGGGGCTGCCATTCAGCTTGGGCTTAGGACACCTCCATCTGTCCATGGGGGGGAGGGTCTCCCTGCCTGAGTTACTCAGCAGTCTGAGTAATTACTGACAAGAAGGCAGGCACAGTGCACCCCCACGGTATACCACAACACCCTCCTACAGTCGCCCCCACCCCCTGGCTGGACGCCAAGGCAGCACCCAGTCCTCCTGAGGCCTGAAATAACTCTGCTTCTCACACTTACGCCCAGCCCCAGCCAACTTTGCCTAAGATGCTGGAGTTTGTGGGCTAGGGGGTCATGGGGAGGCGGCTTGGGGAGGTGGAAGATGGATTAGTCCACATTCAAGCCCTGATTCAGGCCCATACTTCATCCCTGATTTGCTGTGTGATATTGAGCAAGTTGTTCAACTTCTCTGGTCCTCAGCTTGCGTATGGAGGGCCTCTGCAGCTCTCAATGTCACAGAGTTTAGGTCTGGTATCTGCTCGGCAGGGCTCAGGCAGGGTGTAGGGCCAGCACGGCCTTGCAGGTGGTAGAGGTTAAAGGAAGGAATGCCCTCACTTTTTGTCTTCACCGGAAGAGGGACCAATCTTATTAATCCTCAGAACAAGGTTACTTCTCACCTTCAAGTACTTACACATTCTCTCCTCCTGGAATGCCCTTTTCCCTTCTCAGCCTGATGAACTCAGCCCTCAAGGCCTCACGCCAGGGACACCTTTTCTGTGAACATTTCCCGATTACCCCTTTAGCCCCTTACAGAGCTAGCAGAGCTGTCTCCCACACTTTGTGACTTCTGTCACATTCTGAGATGGCTTGTGGGTCTTTCTTCTTCCATCACACCATAGGTCTCTGCAAGTCCAAGTCTATATCCTTGGCTCAAGCCTGGAGCCCCAGTGTCACTGAACGCATGTTTTTGAGTGAATAAATGATACTGGCCTTCTTTTTGACCTTCCTATCTTGCCACATTTTCCTCTAAGGAGGACTTCAATTAGTTCTGTGCTTTGATGTCACCTGCTCAGCGCAGTCCCTGACCCTTCATGCCAGCTCCAGAAAAATACCCTGCTTGTTTTCCTTCCAAGCTCCATCTCATCTGGACTTTGCTCATTTGGTGCCTATTAGAATGTAAACTCCAGGAGGATGGGAGAAAGACCAGTCTCGTTTACCGGCTGAATTTGCAGGAATAGCAGTGCCCCGCACAAGGTAAACCCTCGGTAAGCGTGTGTGGACTGGGTGACTTGGTCCCCTCCGTTTCCTCCCTTAGAAATCCCTGTTATCCCAGGCCAGTAGGGGGTGCCAGCCTCCACCCGGGATCTCGCCTGGCCTGGACCTTCTCTACCCTCAGCCCAACGGGCCCGCTGCGGGACCCGCTTTCTAAGCGGTGCCTCCTCCATTTTCCGCAAATACCCCGGCGGGGTCTGTGCGCACCGAGCGAGATCCCGGCCCAGGCGGAGATGGCCCGCCTGCGTCCCAAATCGGTCCTTCCTTCTCTCTGGGGTTTGCAAGTGGGCCTCCCATGCTTGCTGTTCCTCACCTCCCCCAAAAAGAACAGTGTCCTGGGAAGCGGGTTGCGGGGCGGCTAGGTTCGCTGGAGCCGTTCTGGGCGAGGAAGAGCCGTCGAGACCCGAGGAGGAAGGGGCGCTGGCCGGGGAGGAGTTGGGGCGGGGGCGCGGACTTGGGATTCGGACTCTGGGCGGCGGTGCTGGCGTCCCAGCCGGTCGGCGGGGAGCACGCTTCCAGCTGCCTTTCCCGATGACCTCCAGCCGCGAAGGGCGAGCGGGCGGAGGCCGGGCTGCGGGCGCGGGCTCCGGGAAGCCCGCGGGGCCGAGGAGGGGCGTTCGAGTGGCCCGACGAGCGGCCCGGGGACTGGGGCAGGTACTTGGACGGACGCCGGCCGAGGATCGTCCCCGGGGGCGGGCACGGCGAAAACACCTTGGGAGGCGGCGCCGGGCGGCTGAGCGCCGCTGCCCTGGGAATAGGACGGCGCTCGGCACTGCGAGCTGAGAGCACTTTCATAAATTTTGTATGGGAGGCGCTCCGTGAGCGGGGGCGGGGAGCGGAGCTGGAGGGAGGGAGCTAGCGAGCGAGGGAGGGAGGGGGAGGAGAGGAGGGGGAAGCCGGGGGGAGGAAGGGAGGCGCCCCGCTCCACCGATCGCTCGGTCCTGCAAACGCGCGCCGGGCGCTTTCCCCGGAGCTCCGCGGTGCGTGCGAGCGCCCTTTTGCAGCAGCCGCGGCGGTGGTGGCCCGAGGGGGCGGAGAGGAGGGGGCCGCGGCCGGCCGGCCGGGGGGCGGCGTCCCCCCTCAAAACCGCCTGCAAAGTGCTCCGGGCGGCAGAAGCAGGCCGCTGGCCCCGCGGAGCAAGCCGCTCGCCCTGGGGCTGAGCGAGCGCGCGGGGCTGCCCGGCAGCGCCGCGGTTGCTGGCGGGCGCCGGTGCCATCGGCGCGGGGCTTGGGCTCACCATGCCCCTGCGGGGCCGGGCTGCCGGGCACAAGTGGATCCCCGGCTTGCCCCCACCTCGACGCGCTCGGATTAGCTGCAGCTGGCGCCCAGGGATTTGAATCTGGACCCCAGGAGGGAGCGCGCCTAGGCCGACTTCGGAGCAGCGGCCCCGCGGCCAACATGCTTCGCAAAGGTGAGTTGGAGCCGCAGGGGCAACTTGGAGTTGGATACGCACGGGGCAGAGCCACGAGCCCCAGAGCCGCCCGGCGCCGGGGCTCCGGGTCCGGGAAGCAGCTCCTGGTCGGCGTTGTTGGACGCACCCGCCGAGGGGCCGGTGCTGGAGCTCAGTTCCCGTCGGTTGTGAGACACGGGTTTGCTCCACGGGTTTGCTCCACGGATCAAGTGGCCAGGCCTAGGGACTTGGCGTGGAGGGGTCAGTCCAAGACCAGAGTGAATGGGCCCGTAATGAAAGGAGAGCCGGCCTTCTGGGACCTTTTCTTTGCTATTATAAAGTTTTGCACTTGCAGTCCCCATCCCTTGAGCGGACACACGCCCCTGCTCCTGCCGCTTCGGCGGGGCCGGGTCCAGCCCGCGCTCCAGCGCAGCCAGCGGTCAGTCACCGCGCGCCCGAGAGCTCACCGCGCGCCCCAGCTCCCCAGGCGGAGCCCGGAAGCGGGCACCTTCCCTGAAGCCCTGCTTGGATGCCCAGGGACGGGCTCTGAGCACCCAGCGGCTGAGGGTGGGGAGTAGCCAGCGCCTGATGTCCGGCTCCTCAAACTTTCCTTACGCCTCGAACGGAGGGACGCGAAGGCGAAGGCCGCACAGGCAGTGTGCGCGACCGGTGCCAGGCTCAACTTGAGGAGAGCTGGCTCTGCGATCACCTTAGCCAGACTCCCCGGCAGCCCGGCCCGGTACCGAGCGCTGCAAAGTTGGCGCTGGCACCGGGGAAGTCCCGCCGCGCCCCCACGTGGTTGCCGCGGTGGGCGCTGTCCCCTGGGCCCAGGGAGGGCAGGTGACCACGCCGTGAGCCCCCGGGCCCCGCCACCAGCTGCTCCGGCTTCTGGGTCTGCCTCTGTCCCCTCCCAGATCCGAGCAGGCTGGGGCGTCCCGCCGGGACCCCCTCGTCGCTGGCCTGGGCGGCGGACAAGCAGCGGTGCCTGCGGCTGGCTGCCCCGGCCCTGCAGGAGCCGGCTGAGGCGGGAGCTCAGGTAGCGGAGGGGCCTGATCCCTGCGCTCCGCGCTCCAGCCTTAATCCGCCCCTGTTTCCATGGCAACAGACGGAGGTGTCGTAAGCACAGGATTCTGACCTCACAGCAGGATGGGGAAGGAGAAAACGGGCAGGGGGAGGTGGCAGAGGTGGGGGAAGCAGAGCCCCAAGATGGGCGGAGAGAAGCAGGTGTGGGGGAGACGGAAGAGACCCAGATATGCAGGGCAGACTGAAGGGCGAAGGAACCGCGCCTTGGGTGGGGGCAGCAAAGGCTGTGTGGTGGTCCCGGCTCAGGCCGCCCGAGCAGGGAAGCTTAGTTGCCCCATCTGTGGGAATAGTCTCAAACTTGCCTGTGCCTTGTGCCCTCCACGTGGGTCGGTGCAGTGCGGGGCACTCTCCCTGTGTGACGTGGAAAAAGTCTCTGTGGCTGGTTGGAGGAACTGCTTCACTGGTACACCCCAGCTCCTTTGCCCTGCAGAAAGTCCTTTCAGCAAGAAAGCGGTGCTGGCCAAAGTGTCTGCCAGAGAAAGTGCTTTTCACCGAGCCCAGCCTCGAGGCCCAGGTCTGAGAAGCCTGGGCCTGGAGCGTGCAAACTTGCCCCAGTAGGGAAGGCTCCCCAGGCAGTTTTAAAAGGCCGCCATGTCTGGGCTGCAGGTCTGTGATGGAGATAACAGAGGAACTGACATCTCATTTCCCTTTTGGTCTCTTGTCTTTTGGCAGTTTACAGTTAAAAATGAGCCATGAAACAGCCCACGCACTTTATTTATATGGTTTAGGTGCCCAGGGAGGCTCCAGCAGCCTCCAAGAGTCTCTTTCTGAGCGTGGCTAGCCAGAGGCCCAGCTCTGGAAGAGCCCGGTGCATTCTGGGAGCTGCTCCCTTGGGGGAGACTCCTTACCCTGCTCAAGAGGTGGCCACTGGAGGCTCAGCCATCACATGTGTTTGCCACTTGGGCTGTTTTTTCCTTCCTGCACAGCCTGGTTGGCGGGAGAGGTTCCACCAACAAAGAGGTTTGCATCCCGATTGGCCTAGGGAAGCAGAGCAGAGAAGCCCTTTGCTGGGCTGGGCTTAGCTTGGGTGGCCTGGAGACTGCCCTGGGACGTTGTGTGGGCAAATGACTTTTGTTTGGCCCTTTCCTGGGCAGGCAGTTTCTCCCTTGGCCCCTGATGCTGATCCCTTGGATTTGTTTCTTTTGCGCACACCGGACACTCAAGATTCTAGGTATGCACCCAGAGCCAAAAGTATGCCTGAGGCTAATGCCAAGGGAGGTGGCCATAGAAGTTTCTGCTTCTAGAATTGTTTCCAAAGGCTCCAAGCAAAAACATCATAGGATGGATCAGATAGTTTTTGCTGTTTCCTTGCCTATCCAATGCAGAGGCCTAGTTGGGGCCCTAGACCTGAGGGAGTTTAATAATTTAATTATGATTTGGAAAAGGGTTTGAAAGGTGAAGAAAAAGTAGTCCTCCCTATATCCTTGGGGGAGGGAGGAAGAGAAAAAAAAAACTCTTATCTTTTTGCAAAGGGTAGAGATCATGGTCTTTTTTATTTTTTTCTCTTAGAGATGGGGTCTCACTCTCTTGCCCAGGCTGGAGTGCAGTGGCACAATCATAGCTCACTACAGTCTCAAACTTAGCAATCCTCCCACCTCAGCCTCCTGAATAGCTGGTATTGCAGGCTCTAGCCACTTCGCCCAGCTAACTTTTTTCTTATTATTTTAGAGCAGCTGCCCCCGAACCTTTTGGCACCAGGGAAGACATGGAAGACAATTTTTCCATGGAGGGGGCACAGAGATCAGGTGGGGATGTGAGTGATGGGGGGCACCTGTAAATACAGATGAAGCTTCACTGGTGCCACCCCTTCCTAAGTTTCATGGTTGGGGGGCAGACAGCAGAGCTCTGCAGCCCAGTCCCTAACAGGCTGTGGCCACGAACCACTACCCCGCCCCAGCCCGGGGGTTGGGGACCACAGTTTTAAAGACAAGGTCTCACTTTGTTTCTCAGGTTGGTCTTGAACTCCTGGCCTCAAGGGATCCTCCTGCCTCAGCCTCCCAAATTGCTGGGATTGCAGGCATGAGTCGCTGCACCTAACGTGGGCTTATGGTCTTGATAATGGAGTGTCCTGTGGAATTAGGGGGTTCAGTGGTATGAAGCCCCAGAGGAATATAAAGGCCTTAAATTGTGGGGGTCATCTCTCTGATTTCTGGTTGTCCTATTAAAGCTGGCTGTCCCCTAGCAGGACACTTTAGGGATTTGGGGATACTGCCTTGCATCTCTCAACGAATGGACTCATTTGTCCCCACCTCTGTGAACTAGACCAACCCCAGTACCGTATGACCCGGCTGCTGACCGCTTGGTAGCTGAAGGCTTCCGCAGCTGCCCTGCCTGGTTTCCCATCTCCTGGCCTACCCTGGCAGAACCAGGGATACAAAAAGCTAAGCCTCTGGTCAAGTGATGAGAGACAGGCAGGGAAAGTGAGGACCTGAGCCACCTAGCAACACTCAGGAAGGAAGGACAGCCTGCCTGGGCTTTTGTTTTTTGGCTAGATGTAGCCGCTTAAGGTCAGCATCTATGGTTTTCATTTTTAGAGCTATAAAAACAGAATGCAAATCAAGAGCCTCTGGGCTAATACAGAACCTTTCCTTAAAGTTTTTGTCTTGTTAAGCAAGGAAATAGAGTGCCAAATAGGCTTTGTTAAGTGGCAGTCTAATTAATAATTTAAAATCTTGTAACTGTCTTTCATTAGAATTTATCTGTACATCAACCACAAAATCAGTCAAACACACTCATTTATAAGTTAATGCCATCCCTGCATAATTCAGCAAGAGCTAGATTATAAGACCTGCAACCCAGGAAGATGCATTTTGTTCTCTTCGTTTTCATAATCAGGTGGGCTGGCCTGGTGGCCGCATTGGGATTCTCCTTTGTGGGAAGAAGGGAAGGCAGAAGGAGGGAGGGACCGTGGTGTTGTCAAGTGGCTGGTTGATTTGAATCCAGGGGTTCCCTAGGTGATCAGAGTGTCTCCATGCGGCCAGGTGTGAGCAGGCTCCATCTCTGCCTCTTGTTGGGGGCAACTAGGACTTAGAGCTATTGATAATATGGCAGGTGGCTGAGCTATTGATAATATGGCAGGTGGCCGTGGCCCCATTGGAGAGGCAGAGAGAAGAGTTTTCCATAGGCCAAAATACTCTTTTCTGATGCAGGGAAGTGTAGCGGGGAAACATGAGAGCCCTTCTCAAGAGGGCTGAGACATAAGACTTTTTAGCCTGAATCTGGTACAGACGTGGAATTTTGGTCTTCCCAGCCCATTTCTCTTCCAATCAAGGAATACAGCCTGGTAGAACCAATCTCCCTGAAACAGCTTCTTTCATTAGGAGCTTCTGGGCTGCTTCTTTCCTCAAAGCTCCTGGTCCTTACGCCAGAAAAGAGAAGCCAAGAAGAGGAATTTTAGGGGAGCACCAGGACACGCTGGCAGAGAAGAGAAGCAGAGGGAGTTGCTAAGTAAAGCCCATGCATACATTTTCTCCTCTGTAGCCAGAATAAAAGCAAGGACAGCAGAGCAATGTTTCCCTTGTGAGCCCAGACAATGTAGAAAATGTGTTTTGGTTCGGTTCCCGTCATGCCAACACCGGGCCGATTCCTCACTGCGGAGTTTTCAGGTTCATTTTCTACAGGGAAACTATTCATGATCCAAACTCCCAGCATGGGCTCTGGTTCCCCCACGGCGGGAGCGAGCTCCAGAGTTTCCAGTCTCTGCCCCAGCCTGCCAACCCCGAGCCCTCTGGGTGGCTAAATGGCACCGTTTATGGAAATCAGGTGGAGAACCAGAGCAGACATGCACTTTGATGCCATCAGAGGTTGTTGGCCAAGTTTGAGAAGAGGAAGTCTCAGTAGGAAAAGGCCAAGGCAGGGGAGGGGGCAGGTGTCGCCCCCTGAGCAGTGGCAGAGCTGACAGCAGATGGGATCAAGGAGGGGAGCTTTGAAGGGTGAATTTAACTCCCAGCTCTGGCCACGTCTCTGGGATCAGGGCTGAAAAGGACAGAGCAGCTCGCTTGCTGGAGATGCAAAGGAGGGGGCAGGCATCATGCAGGATGTCAAGAACGGATCTGTTTGGTACCATCTGCAGCGAAGTAGTGGTTAAGGTTAAAGCAGAGAGGAGATGACAGGGAGGGAACAGATGGCCGAGGAAGCAAAATAGCTGGCGAAACGGGAACAGAGCCTCCAGGGACGGTAGAAGGCAGGACCTCTGCGGTGCACAGTGCCTGAAGCAGCCCTTTCTTTCCTTGGGGTGCGATGGGCAGGCCACCCTGGGTAGAAGTGAAGTGAGTCCGAGAGAGGAATCAGGCAGGGACCCCAGTGTGAGGGCTTCCCCAAGACCTGGCAGAAGACCTAGAGAGCCTTTGGCGCCAAGGCTAGGGGTGCAGGAGCAAGCGCCTCCTTGGATCTCGATGAATGGGCAGAGGAGGCATGGCTGGCTTGGTGTCCATCATGGAGCGAGGTGAAGCCACTTGGGGTCTCACAGAGCGTGCCTGGCCAAGCCTGCTGGGAGGAGATTCGGATGCCAGCTGCAAACAGGCAGCAAGGAATGGACTGTTCTCCCTCATCTGCCTTGGATTCACTTTTGCCAATCCCTGTCCGCTTACAGCAATAGCTGCTTGTATTGACTGGGCACTTCTTATGTGCCAAGCCAAGTACACTCCGTGTCTTATCTCATGTCATCTCCATAACCACACCTCGAGGTCTGTCTGTGCTTATTCCTGCTTTTCAGTTGAGGAAACTGAGGCACAAGCAGAGGGAGTCCCTTGTCCTGGGTCACCCAGCTGGCACACTGTCGAGTCAGGATGCAATCCCAGGTCTGTCCGCCAAGCCCACACTCCTTCCTTTGCTCTCTCAACCTCTGCACTCCACTGTCTCACGTGCCAATCTGTCTTGATTTCCATGACATTTGCTTTGGGGGGTGCTGGCTGCTGCTGAATCATTTGTGGCTTGTTGCAGAGCTTCCTGGTGGTTCCTAGGCACTCCCTTCCTGGTGCCCCTCAGGAGGCTCTCTGGCGGGGACCTGGGACTCCTGGCTCAAATGTCCTCTTCCACCCTGTCCTCCTTTGTGTCTAGGTAGACACACCTCTCACCTCTGTCTCCTGCTCTGCCTTCTTCCTTGAGGACAGAGATGGGACAGTGGGCCAGGCACCCTCCTGCCTGCTTTCATGTCCCTGAGCAAGGCCCACGGCCAGGGTTTATTTGGGGGCTGGTCCCTGCTTGGGCTCTCAGCCTTCCCCCATAGGTTGATGTCCCTGACTCCCCTTCCAGGCTGACCTGCAGGACTTGCTAACGAAACCACCCTGCCCGGTGGCTGTCTGAGGAGCAACAGCCCCAGAACATGCCGGCCCAGGTGGGCGGCAGTTGGCAGGCAGGTGAGGCAGCTACAGGACTCCTCCTCCTGGGGGGCCTTCCCACAGCCTGGCCCCAGCCTGCCGGGCCAGGATGGCAGCTACAGGACTCAGTGCTGTCCTCCAGAAAGGGCTTCTCCTGTCCCCTCCCAGCCAAGGTCGAGTCCCGGGGAGGCCAGTTCTTCCTGTTGTTCTTTTGGAAGAGAAAAACAACGGAACAAGGCGGACAGGCTAGCTGCTCTGGGAGTGTAGAAGAGCAGAATCCCACTGTGGAGTGGAGTCACTCCCCCTCCTCCGCGCTGGGGCGGGTGTCTGATCCAACAGATACTCGGTGCTTCAGAGCCTGTGATTACTGTCTAATCAGTCAGCGAAGTTTGGACACAAAACTGCAAACAGCCCCTGCTATCTGATTCAGAAGAGTGACTCTGGAGGCCTCTGCACTGGCACAGCCAGAGCGTCGGCACCACACTGTGTGTATATGTGTGTGTGTGTGTGCAGAAACTCACCTGGTCAGCGTGCAACAGGGTGCCCAGAGTGTGCGCGCCAAAGGTCCACTGCCGCAGAGCAGCGCGCCCCGAGTGCACGGGAGCCTGCGTCGGCACGCACACCTCCGTCCACTGGCATGGCGTGGTGCCACGGAACGCTGGTGAGCCACTCCGTGGGGGGCCTCCAGGAGTGGGCGGGCCGGCACCGTGCGTGTGTGCGTGCCACATGTCAGGAACAAAGCTTGCTCAGTGGGCGTGTGGCTCGCCCTCACAGGGCGTGGGTGGGCACGACTCACCGCGTGTCTGCCAGGGGACAGACCACTGCACCCCCAGAGACGGGCCTCTTGGCAGCTTACTGGGTTGATTCCAGTGGCATCATAGTGACAACTATTAATACACCAGCCAAGGTGAATCTGCAGGAAATTGAACAAAAAAGTCTTTTCCCAAGTCAGGAGAAAAGCCGGGCTTCCCAACTCTCGGCCCACCACGGCAGTGTGAAAGTTTGCCACTCGCTGCCTGCAACCCTGTCCCAGCGCTGTGCTGTCTCCCTCTGGGCCCCTGAGCCAGGCCCAGCGAAGGGGCTTCTGCATATGCTTATGCAGAGAGATCCACAAGGCCCTGGGGGAAATTGGCATTCTTCTTTTGATGATTTATTTATAGGGCGATTGGATGGCGGGGAGATGGAGGCTAAGGTGCCTCCATTAGTGCGAAGCTCGGGAGGCAGGAAACCTTGCTCCGCATTTGACATTTAGTGGGGCGACTCCTACCAGGGAGCTGCCTTTTCTTTTAGAAGGTTTTGCCTTTAATGTTCTATTCATGGGCTTGTCTGAGCAGGGCTGGGAGAAGGAAGGAGCATGCGGAGAGGTAGGCCTGGGGTCTGAGGCCGGCCATCCTGGGTGGGGAGGGGACAGGGCCCAGGTGGGTCACTGGGTGGCCAGCGTGGGGCAGCCTGGGCAGGCCTGCCGCCGGGGGAAGGTGGCTGTGCTCTGGCGCAGCAGGCAGCCCGACCGCCGCTGCCGCTCGTTGGCATGTGCTGCATGCGACACGCTGCGTGTTTACTTTCCTGTCTGTCTCTCTCTGCACTGGCTGCCAGGCCCTGCCTCCAACCGCAGCCCCGTGGCAGCTCTGCTTTGGCCTTGCCACGGTCCCTTCCCTCCTGGGGATTGTGGGGTTGTGGAAAGACCCCCCTCCCCAAGTTGGAGTCCCAGGGCTGGGTTTGGTTCTGTGGCTGACTCAGTTGAAACCTAGACACATCTCCTCCTCTCCAGGCCTCAGTTTACCCAACTGTAATATGACAAGATCGATGATCTTTCAAACATCTTTCAGCAACAGAATAGTTTCTTCAAATGAGACCTCATGTCACAGCCCAGAATGTAAAAACACATGAGCACAGGGTGCCCTGTCAGAGCAGGTAAGGGGCTTCCTCCTTGGGCCTTAGTGCCACCCTGGCCACCCCTGCAGTTTGGGGACTCCTAGCAAGACAGTGCACACAGGAAGGCCATCGGGCACTAGCAAAGAGGACCCTTCGCTATCCATGGGGCGTGGGGTTCGAGTTCTCTCCCCTGCATGGTGATGGGCTGTTTCCTCCCCTCATCTTGGACCCCTTGTGACCACCTAGCTGTCCCCTCCCAGACCTGGGAAGGAATCGTCCCCATGTGTGGTCTCCTTGCCAGACTCCTCAAGCCAGACTCGCAGCTTCCTGCCCAGCACTCCACTGTCACCACCCTGGCTTGATGCTAAACCTAACAGACGTTTTCCTTATCTCCTTGACCTTCTGGTGGCAGCTGACTCTGGTGGCCATACTGTTCCCCCGGCCTCCCTGACAGCGGCTTCCTTGGTTCTGCAGCTGCTCCTTCTGAGCCTTCCTCTCACTGCCCCTCCAATGTGGCGCCTCCCCCTGCAGTGGCCTGGGCCCTCTCCCCACCCGTGCTCCGCTCTGGGGGGTGCAGCACCCCCAAGGCTGCATGTCCTATCTCCAGCCAAGGTGTTGCTTCTGATGTCCACAGCCATCTGCCCGCTGGCCTCGAGATACACCCCCAGTAGCCTCACAGTCCCCTCAAACCTGGCGTGTCTGAAACTACGCTCCTACCCTGAGCTCCCAGCAAATCACCCCTTCCCATGGTCCCTGTCCCAGTGTTCTCCCAGCCACGCCCAGCCCCAGAGCTGGGGTCAAGGCCCTTCTCCCCACACCTTTCACACCTCCCCTGGCTCCACCCTACCCTGTGACCAGATCTCACAGTGCTGCGCTCCTGTCACTCTGTTGCTTACAAACCTTCAGCAATTCCCTTTTCCCCTCGGGCGTGGCCCAGACTGCTTGACTTGGCCCATTGGGTGCTGCTACCTTGTCCCATCCACAGCTGGGGCCTCTCTCCCCACCCCCACTTGGAACTCCGAGCTGCGGATCTGCCGAACTTCTTTCCGTTCCACCACATCACGTCCTCTCTTGTCTCTGAGGATTTGCACGAGCGGCTTAGGCTGCCTCGAACACTCTTTGCTGCAGCTTCCCTGCACTCCCATCCTTCAGGCCTCAACCTAAACGCGGCTTCCTCTGGGGAACCTTCCACCCCCAAACCAGGGGAGGGGTCCCGGGAGTCCCCTGGTGCCCTGGACTTCCCTGTCATAGAGCTCAACTCGCCTTGTTGCAATTACTTTCATGCTATCTGTCCTCTCTGCTGGATGGCAAGGTCCCTGGGGAGAATGGCTACTGCTGCTCTTGCCTTCCAGGTCTCTTCCCCACCTGCTCTCTGTCCCTCGAGGGGGGCCCGTCCCAAGTTCAGCAATGGGCTCCCACAGCCTCTCACCTCCAGCTGGGCTCAACCAGTGGTTAACCTGTCCCTCCACCAAAGGTCGCCCAGTGATTTTCCCAGAAGCACAGCCCTTGAGATTCAAGGATTCAAGCATATAGTTTATTTGGGAAACGATCCTAGAAAATGCCAGAAGGCAAGTGGGGAAGTGAGACAGAGAAGGGAAGAAGCCAATAAGGGGTGCATTGCACCAAGCAAGTTACCACTGTGGGCAACCAGGGTTTAATCCCACTGTGGGGCTCTGGGATACAGTCTAGACCTTGAACCTCGAAGTTATCTCATGTGGAAGGTGAGGGAGCGGGGGTATTTATATTCCGCATCCCATCAGTCATTGGCTGAGTGAGGTTCCTATGGAGGTTTTAATTCCCTGGCACTTTTGGCCTGCTCTGTGGGTGAGCAAAGCCAGCTCCCAGCTACAGAAAGCCCTGAGGCAAAGAAATGCAGATCTTGGGAGTTGGAAGTCAGGCGGGTGTGTGCTGAAATGGTAAAACCCAGGGCTGTGGGCAGGCCCTGGAAGCATCTGCTACACAGTGCAAGCCAGTGGTCCTCTCCCCAGCTCTGTCTGTCTCTGAGCTCAGAGAGAGCTCCTTCCCCTCACAGCCCTGGGCGTGTGTGCCTGCGTGCGTGTCTGTTATGACATTACCACTTAGGGTTTCCCTACCCCCGTTCTCACCTTCTCTATATACTCATCGGATTGCTCAGTCTGAGGGTGCTCTCTGTTTCCTACCAGGTCCCAACTAAAACAGCATCTGCACAAAATAAAATGTAGCACGTAGTGATGTTTGGTGAAAAGTGTTGAATCAATAAACAAACACACGTCTTTATGAGTTGATTGGATAATAAATGTTGAATAATTGATTTTGCACATAGGTCGGAACACAAGAAACTTAGTACCAAAATCTAGTTTTTAAATTGTTCCAAAGCCAGGTGTGGTGGCTCACTCGGGTAATCCCAGCACTTTGGGTGGCCAAGGCCAGACGATCGCTTGAGGCCATGAGTTTGAAACCAGTCTGGGCAACATAGCCATACACTGTCTCTACAAAAAAATTAAAAATTAGCCAGACAGGGTGGCATGCGCCTGTAGTCCTAGCTACTGAGGCTGAGGGAGGAGGATTGCTTGAGCCCAGGAGTTGGAGGCTGCAGTGAGCTATGATTGCACCACTGCACTCTAGCCTGGGTGACAGAGCAAGACCCTGTCTCAAATAAATAAATAGTTCCATATAGCTGTAAGAAAAATTAAATCCTGATAACCTAGGCTTTAAGAAAAACAGAGAGAGAGAAAGAAAAAGAAAAGAAATTGTATCAGGAACTAGGAGGAAATGGGGATGGGGATATTTTTAGTGAGGAGGATGTAGAAGGGAAGGGAGTCATACCACACAGTTTCCCTGCACAATGCCTTATTCAAAGCAGAAAAGGCAGGTCTTCTTCTTTTTTTAATGAGACATGGTCTCACGCTGTTGCTTGGGCTACAGTGCGTTGGCATCATCATAGCTCCCCCCAACCTCAAACTCCTGCCTCATCCCCTGGAGTAGCTGGAACTACAGGCATGCGCCATCACACCTTGGTAAATAAAAAAAAAAAAAATTTATTGTAGAGATGGGTCTTGGTTTTTTGTTCAGGCTGGTCTTGAACTCCTGGCCTCGAGTGATGCTCCTGACTCAGCCTCCCAAAGTGCTGGGATTACAGGTGTGAGCCACCACACCCAGCCAAGAGAAGGCAGGTAGGTTGCAGATGAGGATACTGAGGTTCAGAGCAGCTAAATGTCTCAGGCGGGGTTCGGGGCTGCTGCTGCACTGCCCCAGCCCAGCTCTGTGTCTCCATGGCCCCGGGCAGCTGGTGGGCACAGAAAGACTGACAGTCGGCTTCACAGAGGACATCCAGCAGGGCAGGTGCCGTGTTGGGAAAAGAAACAACACTTTCACTTGGAAAAGTTTAGGGTTGTACTTGGCAGATTTTTATGGAACAAAATTTGCACTATCGATTCCGTGGCAAATGAAAACCTCTCGTGGACACTCTGGGCTTCAGAGATCTGAAATGTTTAAATGAGGCTGGACCGAACACGAGGAGAAAAAATTGCCAGACGAAGCTGAGCTCAGGTGGTGCCTGGGGTGAGAAGATGCTGCCTCTTTTGTCTTCTCTCCCATCTGTGAAAATGACTTGTTACTTTGAACTGCTCCCTCCCCTGCCAGGGAGGGCTCCCAGGTTGTTGCCCAGGCCTGCGGTTAAAACAGAATTGCTGAGCAGAGGGGGAGAGGCTGGGGCAGTTCACAGGGCCATGGTCAGGAGAATGCACCAGCCAAAAGGGAAGACCAGCCAAAGGGGACATCTTACCACCCACTCGTGGGGCTGCAATTCGCCCTGGGGCTGCCTGGAGGTTGTAGTGGTTACCACTTCCCACGACTGGCCCGCTGGCCCTGGCAGGCTGGTATTTCTGCCTTCACGGGCAAATCTGATTGCAGGGATTCTTGCAAGAAGATGAGTGACCTGGACTCCCAAAGCCTCCAGGCAAGGCGTAGCTCCAGGAAATACAGCCTCTCTGTGGTCCCTCTGGTTTCCTCTCCGCCCTGGCCTCTTCCTCCACCCAACCAGCTCCTTCTCCTGTCCCACCGTCTGCACCTAGGGGTCTTCACCTCCTACAGTCCCAATAAAGCCACCCATGGCTTGTTCTCCAAGACAGCCCTTCACCTGCCCCTCCCCAGCTCCCTGCCTCACCCTCTTGGGATTCCCAGCTTTATGTCCCAGAAGGAAGACTCCAATGGCGCCAGCCATGTCATGGCTGGTCTCAGACCATGTCGTAGCTAATTATCACCTACGGATTGTCTATCCATGGGTGAGCTGGCCACCTTTTATCTTGTCCGCCAAGAGGGGTATAGGAGGACTCTCTCTCCACTTGACAAATGTTTATTTACAACGCCTGACTGCCTGCTGCCGCGGGCATGGCACTGAGGATGAAGCAGTGAATGAAAACTAAGTCCCCCTGTTTTTCTGGAGCTTACATTCGAGTTGGGGGTGGGGAGGTAGACAGCAAATGACTAACTCTATTCTGTCAGGTGTGGGTAAGCGATTAGAAGAAAATTAACCGAGGGGTAGTCCAAGAACAGAGGGTGACCAGAGAGCTGTTATTTTATAGAGACTGGCAGGGAAGCTTTTCTGGGATGGTGACTTTTTTTTTTTTTTTTTTTTTTTGAGACAGAGTCTCACTTTGTTGCCTAGGCTAGAGTGAGTGCCGTGCCCGGCTAATTTTTTCTATATATATTAGTTGGCCAATTAATTTCTTTCTATTTATAGTAGAGACAGGGTCTCGCTCTTGCTCAGGCTGGGTTCGAACTCCTGACCTCGAGCAATCTGCCCGCCTCGGCCTCCCAGAGAGCTAGGATTACAGGAGTGAGCCACTGAGCCCAGCCTGGTGACATTTGAACAGAGCCTAAGTGGAGTGAAGGAAGGAGCTCTGCAGGTATCAGAGCTGCCTCAGCCTGGGAAGAGCTCTCCAGGCAGAAGAAGCCACAGCAAGAGCAAAGGCCCTGGGGCAGGAGTATGCTTGATACGTGCTCAGATGTCTCGGGGCTGGGGCTATGGGCAGGGCAGGCACTCTGAGTTGTGGGGATGGGCTGAGCGAGGGTCCTTCTCAGGAAGTTTGCAACCTGCTTGCAGAGGGAAGCCACACACCTGGAAGAAGTGAAAGGATGGTGTAGGCCGGAAGGAAGGCACTTTGAAGGGGAGGAGGCAGGTGGCTGGAGGGGAGCTCCCTGCTCCCTGGGCACACCTGGGGAGGCTTTGTGAAAAGAGGAGGGCCTTGCAAGCAGGGAAGGTTGCAAAGGCAATACTTTGGGCCACTGGCGTTGCTCATGGCACAAGGTGGTGGCAGATCAGTTGCAGGGCAGACTGGTGGGAGCCTGAGTGTCGCAGAGCCCGAAGTACCAAGGAGGAGTAGGGTTGGTTGACTCAACAGCCACAGAGTCAAGTTTTTGAACTTCCCAAATAATGCATACCCAGGGAAGAAAACACTGGAAAATCACAGACTGGCAACAAGAAGAAAATCACCACAATCCCACAAGCCAGAGAGCAAAGTGCGGGAGAAAGCTCTTTCCTCCCAGGCATCTGGCGCATTTGGTAGCTCCTTCTGTGCTTCTCACCTGCATTCTTGTACCCTGTCCCATCCTGTTCAATTTATCATATATCTCGAACATCTTTCTATATTGGTAATTCTTTTTTTTTTTTCCAGCGTGTCACCACTTTATTTTTTTTTATGTTGGTAATTCTAAGCCTCAGTTTTAATGGCTGCAAAGTGCTCTATTGTATGACTTGCCTGTCCCCACAGGTTGGCTAGGCTACTGTTAGAGGCCATGCCACAGCTGACATCTGGCAGCCTAGCCCACAGGCTTTGTGGGCCCAACAGGGCGGGAGAGAAGGGCAAGGACTTCGTAGGGAGCCAGGTGGATGGAGGCCATTGTAGAAGGTCAGCGACACCCGTTGTCACTACCTCAAGCAGTGGCCCGACAGGACCAGAAGCCATTCAATTATTTGGAGAGGAGGAGAGTGCAGGGGGAAGGGGCTGTGAACGTGGCCCAGGTCTCCAAGGAAGCAGGCTGTGGGTGCACCAGAGGGGTAGAGTGGACAGAGGCATTTGTTTTCTTTGGGATTGGAGGGGCTTGTGGCTCCAGAAAACTCTAGAGGATGGAGTATGAGGAAGAGCATGCCTCTCACTTCTGGTTTGGACCAGGGATTTGTGTGATCTTGATAGATTTGTACACTCTTTCAAATATGGTGCTAGAAGGGACCTTATAGCTCAGCTGAGAAAAGACACTCAGAGACCTGCAGCGTCTTGCCCAACGTCACACAGCCTTCCTGGCACGTAGCGAGTCCTCGGCGAGACGTTGCTGCTGTTCTATCTTCATCATCATCTCGATTACGCAGCCACGTGCCAAGGCTTGCTGCTGTGTGTTACGCTCTGTGGGGACTCTGGGTACCAAAATGAATGCTGCAGTCTGTCCTTTTATCCATGGGCTTGCCTCTCCCTGGCCCTTTCCCTTATTGTAAATCCCTCTTCTTTGTTCTAGGCCTCACCTTGCCCTGTTGGAGGACCCATGAGGAAAGAGGCTGGGGGTGTTGGGAGCCTGTCTGCCAGCCTGCAGGGGCAGGCGCCAGGGCTTCGGGCCCCTCGCAGGACAGCTTGGCAGCTTGGCTCTGCCCTCACGACCTGCCCCCTTTCAACAGGCAGACAGGACCCTGGGAGGAGAAGGGTGTGTTCCGGGAGATGCAGTGCCCCTGGGTGAAGCCCTCAGCAGCCTGGGGCGAGAGAGCTGTCACCGCCCCCACAGAGGAAGGTGGAATCGATTTCTCTCTTGCCACTCCCTTGAAAAGCACAGCCACACGGGGGAAGGGCTGTTTTGGCAGAGGGTTTGTCTTGGGAGAGAGGCGGCAGCAGCGAGGACACACGGAAACAGCTGGGGCTACACACCTGCCTCCCGCCCAGCCTGTGCGGCCCAAACGGGGGCACGGGCCCTTCCTGCCCCACCCTCCTTGCTGAGTTGGGGTCCAGCCACACCCTGTAGCTGGGGTGCAGGGGCTGGATGCAAGCTGGCCCTGTGCGCTCGCTAGCACTGTCCCTTAGCACTTGACCCTTCCAATTCCCCACCCCCTGCTGGGAACCGGCCAGGCTGTTTATACTAACAAGCTAGCCACATTGCAATCTCCAACAAAAAAAAAAAAAAGAGAGAGAGAAAGAAAGAAAAAGAAGGAAAGAAAATAGTCCTTGCACAAATGCTGCTACAGTGTCTGCCAGGACCTAAGATCTGGTACTATCTATTTTTTAATAATTGAGGGTAATAAATATGTATTTCTTTCTCCTCACCACCCCCCATCCTCCGAAGCTTGTCAGCTCCCTGCGTCTCTCCTCTGATCAGACCAAGTCTTCCCCAAGCAAAAAAAAAATCCTTTAAGCAAAAAGGATTAAAGCCTTGAAAGTAGGT